CACCATTCTGATTTTAAAATCTGGATCACATCCACCATCCATCTTCCTTCCTATTCCCATGCTGCTAAAGCAGCATGAGGAAATCCCGTCACCGTGCCACTACAAGTTCATGTTATCTGATTTCAACTGACCTTTACAACTATGTAGTTAAAACTTTATCTTTAAACTTCTTTGATTGGCTCTCCCACTTCCCTCAGCAGTTGTTCTAAAGCTTTTCTTCCCTTCAAGCCCTGACACCTCCCAAGATTATCCTCTCAGCAGATGCTCTCCCTCCTAACTCTCTTGTGAAAATAGAGGCCATCAGTTGGATTCTCTTCTTTTCTGTGCCATACCATAAAACCCTTCTGAATTTTTACCCATCCTCTCCTTATCTGAGGAAGAGGAAGTATTTGCCAAGACTCTCAATCCTATCTCCTCCTGTCTTTTCTAGGAATTTGCCTCCTGCGTCATTCCATCTCTGTCATTTTCATTGTCCATATCTACTTATTCTTTCCCTGTTGCCTATAATGTGCTCAGATATACCCCATCCTATTAAAAAAAAATCACCTGTCTTTACCATCCCCTCAAGCTATAGTGGTATCTGAATTGAACTTTAAAGGAAAGAAAATATTTTAGGCATTGGGAACAGAATGAAACCAAAGGCACATGGTAGGATAATCCAGGAAATGTTTGAAGGACAAGAGTCCAGTTTAGCCAAACAATAGAGTATATGAAGGATTGTAATATGAAAAGACTGCAATGTTAAAGTAATATCAGATTCTGTTGGGCATTGAATGCTGGGTAAATGAGTTTGATCCCAGAAGGTATGGTGGTCAACACCTGTAAACTCACCTACCGTGGCAGCTTAGGTAGGTAGATCTCTTGAGCTCAAGATTTGAACCGCGGTAGTCTGTAACAGGTTGGTGTCTTCACTAAGTGTGGCATTAATATGGTAAGCCCCTGGGAGAGGAAGCCATCAGGTTACAGGCAGCAAATTGACCAAGTTCAGAACAAGTCAAAACTCCCATGCAGTTCAGTAATGGAATTGGGCCCATGAGTAGCCTCTATATCCAGCCTGAGCTAGATGGGAACCCCATACAGAAAACATGATCCACTATATTTATTTATCATTGGGATTCACAAGTACTCCTATAGATGGGGAGAATAGAAAAATGTTTGCTTTTAGCTACATATAGCATGAAATCTAAGAAATTTAAATGACAGCTTGAAAAATTAGATACCTATAATAAATAAAAATTTTATTTTGCCTTGTAAGTAAATAAAGCAACAGTTGTAGTTAAAGATGTCACTTAGTTACAGGTGTAGGATATATTGTTAAAACTTATTTCACAAAGGATTTATTTCTTTTGAAAATCTATTGGTAACAGTGCCACATTTTGAACTTAATTTTTTTTAAGAAGGAATTATATTGGGCTCTACACTGCTAAAGCCCAGTCAATATTGATGGGAAACAAAGTTCTATAAACATGAAATTCGGCCTCTTATGCAATTTGGGCACATTCATAGAAAATTGTTTGGAGAAATATAAGTGAGGAACTACAGACAATTTTTTGCATTGGGATAAGTGATCAAATTTATTTTTTAAATCCTTTAAAAGGAAAGCTCTTTGATCAATTATGATAATATAAGATCAGAGCGTAAGTTATTTGTTATTTATTTTGTAACACAGTTGCTTTCCTGTGCCAAAGAACACAAGCGTCTTTGAACTAAAAACATTTTTCTAAATAATATTAGCAAAAATGAAGCAAATTCATTTTAATAACAAGATTTCTCCAAAAACTGGTTAATGTGGTTGTTAGTTTTAGAAAAACTGAGTACTTGTCAAAGAATATGAATGGGCAGTTTTCAGATAAATCAAAGCTATCTATAGTCATATGAAAAGATGTTCTAAATCACTGATTAGAGAAATGCAGATTAAATCAACTGTGAGGTACCTCCCTCACATCTGTCAGATTGGCTGATGTGACAGAAAAGGAAAATAATAAATGTTGGAGAGGATATGGGAAAACTAGGACACTAATACATTGTAAGTGGAGTTGTGAACTGATCCAGCGGTTCTGGAGAGCAATTTGGAACTGTGCCCAAAAGGGCTATAAAACCATGCATACCCTTTTATCCAGCATTACCTCTACTAGGTCTGTATCCCAAAGAGATCAGAAGAAGGGGGAAAGAACCTGTTTGTACAAAAATATTTATAGCAGCTCATCTTGTGTTGGCTAAGAATTGGAAATTGAGGGGATGCCCATTAATTAGGGAATGGCTGAACAAGTTGTGCTATATGATTGTAATAGAATTTTATTGTGCTGTAAGAAATGATAAGCAGGATGATTTCAGAAAAACCTAGAAAGACTTACATGAACTGATACAGAGTGAAGTGAGGAGAGCTAGAACATTGTACACATTAACAGCAATATTGTACAATGAACAACTGTGAATGACTTAACTATTCCCAGCAATACAGTGTTCCAAGACAATTCCAAAGGATTCATGATGAAAATTGCTATCCACCTCTGGAGAAAAAAACTGATAGTGTTTGAAAACAAACCAAAAGCATACTATTTTTTGCTTTCTTTATTTCTTGTTTTTAGTTTGAGTTTTCTTCCACAAAATAACTAATATGGAAATATTTTACACGATTGCACCTGTTTAACCTATATCAGATTGCTTACCATATCAGGGAAGGGAGGAAGGGAAGGATAGAATTTGGAACTCAAAACTTTTTTTAAAAAAAGAGTGTAAAAAAATTGTTTTTACATGTAATTGGATATATATGTATATATATATGTATATATATGTATATATATGTATATATGTATATATATGTATATATATATATTTTAAACTAAGTACTTAGAGTCAGTGCAGAGTCCCTCAACTTCATACTGCAGTCCAAGAAGATATATTTACTGCATTTATGAAAAAGCTAGAGATATAGACAACAAATTTATTTTAAAAAAATTTATATGTTGCAATTAAGTGGAAGAAAGTAATGACCACTTGATTAGTCTCCAAAAGCAATTATCATTTTAAAGACCTAGGTATTTCTAAATATGAATGGATAAGGAATTTTCAATAAATAGCTATTTCAATATTATTGAAATATCTATTTTAATAAATATCACTTTATTGTATGTTTATGTGTGTTAATTGTTTTTTTAAAAAATGTTATTAAGTTCTTGAGTTTACTTAAATAAAATATTACCTAAGAAGATTAATTGTGTGAAATTTTTTATGAAAAATATTGTAGTGGCATTTTTTTTCCTTAAAAAATTTTATTGTATATAAATTCCCCCCCAAAAAAAATTTTTAGGTTTGGAATGCAGACTCAAGCTGACAATGAGCATATTCTTTCTTATGTACGAGTAACAATGGTTACAACTCTTTGATGGTTGGGAGTTTTTTTTCCCCCTAAAAAAGTGAGACGTCATAAGTAAGAAAAGCATTGGGTTATTAATCAATGACATTGTAAGGTATACTGATATGATTGTAGTTCTTTGAATCTTGCTCTAATTGATTATGTTGTTTATAGTGATTCTGGTAAAAAAAAATTAGGATTCTATCTCCTTTATTGCTACTGAAACTGCCTTTTTATAGTTTAACAACTAGTCAACAAGTTCAGATCCCTTTCTCAGTCCTCATTCTGTTTTATTTCTGCAGCCTTTGCTATGTAGATTATCCATCCCTTTTCTCCAGATTCTCCTTTTGGCTTCTATGAAACTGATGCTGATACTTGTCTTACCTCTCTGATCCACTCTTGTCTCCTTCATAGTTTCCAATTAGTCACCAAGCCCCATTTATTCTTCACAGTAATCTGCCATGTCCGTTCTTTTATATTCCTATAGCCAGTTTCTTAATTCATGCTATTTCATGTAATAGAGTCTTCACTTATCTTGCCTATAGTTCTCTTTTCTAATCCATCTTACACATAGTTATCAGACTGATGTAAAAACTCACTTTGGTCATTTCATTCCCTTGCTCAGGGGCTTGAGGCATAGCTCCAGTCTTTAGTCACAATACAGACTTTGAGATGCCCAAATGGGTCTACTTAAAGTTCCTCAAATATATTTTTATTGTCTCTGTCTCTGTACTTTTGCTCACATAATTGTATACATACCCCTTATCTAGAATGTTTCCCTAAAATAAGAATGTTTTACAAACTTCAAATTTACAAAATGACAGCAAATATAGTTAAGATTGGTTATTGATCTGTACTCTCATTTTTTAATATGAATTATAGTAGTAGCCTCACTATTCTAACATTGTCAACAAACATCAACAACAAGCATGTTTATTAAGCACTTACCATGTGCCAGGCATTGTGCTTGTAAGCACATTTTATACTGGACATTTTATAAATGTCTAATGTTAACTCATCCTGTGTATCTTCCTAATTATATTTGCTTAAAAGTCTCTTATATTTAAAATAGTGATATTTTTCCTTAACACTAAAATATTATCTAAGTAATGCTTTTCCCCAGTGTTAAACTGTATTAAAATTTAGCTAAATGGTATTTTTTGAAGAAAAACAAGAAAGTGGGATGATTTATCTGTAGACAAGTATAATAAGAAATGACTGCAAACTTTAGTTCTAGTTTTTCTTATCAGTTTTGAGATCAAAAATGCCCATTTTAATAGACAGGGAAAACTGAGTATTACTTGAGCATTTATAAATACTAAAAACTGAAAGTAAACTTCTGAGTTCATACCTGTGAGAAATAAGTGTAAATTATTTTTATTTGCTCAAACTCAAAACAGATGATCTTGCATGACAGTTTTGTGCCCTTCTAATTTTTATTTCTCTTGATCGTAGAATTAGTCTACTAAAATGAGCGTTTCTACAACTTTTTCTAATGTTGCTTTTTATTAAACTATGTGTCCTTTTGCTGCCTGAAAAAGGAATTGGCATAAATTTGTAAATAAGTGTCTTTTGCTAATGAAGCATTGAGTTGCATTTGATCAGAAATTAAATGATTATGATGGGATTTTTTTTCCCTCTTCAGTACTGGATGAATGAATACACCTCATCCATTGGAATTGGAGTTTTCCATTCAGGAATAGAAGTGTATGGTAGAGGTATGTATATATAAGTATCTTTAAATCTACTTCATAAAGATATGTAATTCTTAAGGAACTTCATGAGTTGAGATTTTGGGTGTGTCCTTATTAAACAATTGTTGTTCTAGCTTCTGTTTCAGAAAATGAACCAAAAAACCCCTGAACATTCATTCCCCAAGCTTGTTCATTAATTAATCTTTCCAACAGCCCTTAGTTCTTTGGGCGGAGGGGAGTGGAAATCACCTGAGCAATGTAATTGTGATAGAATATCTATTCCTTTAGCCAAAGTTTTCTGTTGTAATCTTTTTGAAAGTCTCGACCTGTCATTTTATGCTGGTGTGCATATTGCCTCTATCAGTAAAGCTAATTTGGAACTTAAATGACATTAGCTGTCTGGGGCACTGAGAGATTAAGCTATTATGTGTTAGAAATAGGACTTGAACTGGAGTCTTCTTGACCGTTCATCCATCAATGCCATGCTACCTCTCTGTTAAGTATATATCAGATTAATAAGAGGTAAAGTACATGAGAGTGTAAATGAGAATGAATGAACAAAAAATTGTGATGAGGACTTGAGAGTAACTGAAATATTATATTTTTATATCATATTATCAATGATTTTGAATGTAAATATTACTAAGCAGACTTAGTTCATTGCATTATTCAGTGCTAAGTATATCATTAAATGTCATATGCCTCTTAATTGAAAGTTCTATTTGGTTTTGAATTGTAACTTTATGATGCATACTTCACTTTGGGTACTTCTGCCTTTGACTTCAAGTGAGATTATTGCAATTTATTCAGTGTTACCCCAGAGTTACAGGGTACAAAATATGAGTATAAAATAGTCTCATTTGCATATATATTAGCATCATTATTAAAGACTCACATTTATATCTTTCTTTATGATTCTAGAGTGTTTTGTTTCTGTCCCATTATTCCTCATCACTATTCATTAATCCTTGTTCTAGGTTTTAGGGTGTGAGGTATAGTTTATTGAAGACCATTCTTTAAGCTTCTTTTTACTTAATAGACTGCCTCCCTCTTGCAATCCTCAAAAAATGTGAGGTTTTTGCAAAAAATATCAATGCCCTTAGACATAGCTGATGATGGTTTTGTCGTCCACCAGTGACTTTGATTTGATTTGGCTTTTGTCTAAGTTATGGTTATTAGTGAGGTCCCCTTCATTCTGAAAAGAAAGGAAGGCAGAGGTACCAAATTATTGCTACTTTCTTCACCACTGTCTAGTGAGAATTTAAACCTCCAAATTTTCTGTGTTTACCCTCTTTGTTACTAGCAATGTTTGTGATAGTGAATTGTTGAACTTAAAATTTTCAGCACCAAACCACATTTTAATGTCAAACACTTATTGAAAGAGGAATTGAACAACTAAAGCAGAACCTTAAATACCTTGTGTCTCTGGAAAAGGGACCACAAAATGTGCTGAGAACTAAAAGTTAAATTTAGCAAAGCGTGGCTTAGTGGGAAGAGCATTAGATTTTGGAGTTAAAGGACAACCTATATTCATATCCCCATATTGCTACTTATTACCTGTGTGCCCTTGGGTAAGTCATTTCCTTTCAGGGACTCAGCTTCCTCACCTGTTACTTTGAGGAGATTGAATGAAATTATGGCTAAGTCCCTCCCAGATCTAAATCTCTGATCCTGTGAACTGTTTTGCTATTTATTATTCATTGTTGTATGAAATTTTAAAAACTATATTAGCCTTACCTTGTCACTTAAAAGTTACTTTGGAAATCAAATGTCCTGCCCAAGGTCACACTATAATATCTAAGAGAGATACTAGAAGTGAGGCTGGAATTTCATTAGTTCTTCCTTGTGGGGAATTCTTCTCTCTGTTATTGTGCTGGATGAAAGTTCATTGAATCTGAAAGAATACTTTGGCTGAGCTATAGAAATGCCTGCCAACAGAATTTCTGGCCCATAAACACGAGTAACTATAGCCCTTTAATAGCTGGGGGAAGGGGGGAGTATTAATAAAAATAGCTACATTCAACATTGAGTATTCATTCAACTCAGTACTCCATGACTAGAACAATTAACAACAAAAGAATTTGAGTTGCTTTCATTCTCAGATCCTCTGCATCACATCTTCTGTGCATTTAATAATTTAATACAAGTCAGTAGTAAAGAAGATTCAGCATCCTGGTTAACTTAAATTTTAACTTTGTGAAAAATACTAAAAATCATGAGTTTTCTCTTTTCAGAATTTGCTTATGGTGGTCATCCTTACCCCTTTTCTGGAATATTTGAAATTTCCCCAGGAAATGCTTCTGAACTAGGAGAAACATTTAAATTTAAGTAAGTAGGGAGGATAATTTTATTACATTGTCATACATAGCTGCCAGAGCTTATCTTATTTGCAAACAATATAGAACACATCCTTGTAAGCTTAGTTACTTCTGGTGCTTCTTTAATACTGTTTTTACTTGTTTGTAAAGCTTTGTAAGTTAGTTGAAATTATTGCATAGAGATGAAATTGAGCCAGAGTGATTGAAATAATTCAACCTTTATTATTTAGTACTTATATTTAGCTTTTAAACGTTACTCTGCCTGGTTTTAAATTACTAGTTTTTATGTAACCTTTGGTACTTTTCTGAAAACTGAAGGATATCAAACATGATTTTTTTATAATTATTTTCTACCTTAACCTTTTTTTTGTCAGCATTTTCAGTGTGAGTTACCAATGTTGAAAGTTTTCCCTTTTTCCTAGTGAAAGGAAGCAATATAGGAATTTAGCATAATTAATTAGACGTATTGAAATCCATTGGTGAGATGATGTGTTTGTATTAAGTGACTATAATAAACTAAAATTTGTTGTGTATACTTTTAGACTTAATCTATCTTAAGAGCTTTGAAAATCTGAGTGATTATTTTTCAGCTTCTAAATAAGATTTATATTTAGAGCTCAGTGTATTACATTCAAAGAGTAAACTAATTTAAACCAGTGGTAATGAAACTTGGTGAAATGAAGGTTTAAAGCAATAAAAGTGTAGGGTAATAGATTTTTAGTTCCTTTGCACTAAGCCTAAATACCAGTGTGAGCTATCTTGATGGCAAATCATTCTAATGCTGTCCTAAATTCATAGTCTGGAATATACTGTCTTAGCAAGACAACCTCAAAGCTGCTAAACTTCCCTCTGATACCCAATTGGATCTGTCTTAATTCAGATTCTGCTTTCCAGAGAATAATATGTTGAGAGTATAGCATCATTCTTTTTTGTAATTTCTACTTTGAATTTTTGGGTATTTTATTAAGTTTAGCAGTTGCATGTCTTTGCCAGAATAATTGTAAATACATTAAATACATTACTGCGGAGATAATAAAATCAACCTCCTAATCGTGAGAGTAGTTAATCAAGATTTTCTTTGGTTTCCTTATTTATTATAGCTGCCACCTGTATAGATCTGGTGCCTAATGATGGAACACTTATTAAAATGAAACATTTGGTTTCTTAACTTAGCATAAATATCACTAGGATGCCTCTAGGACTAACAATAAAATGGCTATTGAGATAGGAAAAGAAAATATTTATTTTGCATTTGTACAAGTTAGAATTAATGTACCTTGGCTTAATGTATTTTAAATCCGGATCTAAAAGAATTAGAATGGGGAAGAAATCTTATTTTTCTGGTTGTCTTACTTTTATTAATAGTTCCTTTTCTTATATTGATCAAAGTATTCTAAGACTGCCAGTTTATAAAAACAAGCCTATAAATACCTAAATACTATGTACTTATATTTTTTCCTTTTGTTTTAGAGAAGCTGTTGTTTTGGGAAGCACTGACTTCCTAGAAAATGATTTAGAAAAGATTGTAGAAGAATTGGGGAAAGAGTACAGAGGCAATGCTTATCATTTGATGCATAAAAACTGCAATCACTTTTCTTCAGCTTTATCAGAGGTAAATGAAATTGTATCCAAAAGGGCTTCCAAATAGACAATGCTATTTGGTATTTGTGTCTTGTTTCATTAAGTACATCTCACTTTACTGTTTTATTTTTCTGATCTGCTTATTTTATGTAAAAGGCAACATGATAATGGAATTTATGTCATTTGCTTAAGGTCACACAAATAATTAATAGCAGACCAGAGATTATGACAAGGCCTCCTAACTTGGTCCAGTGCCCTTTCTATTATGCTGCCTCCCTCAGTCTGGTCTTTTTGTGTTCCCCCAAATCAGTGAAATCCCCCAAATCAACAAATATTTATTAAATACCTGTTTTCTGCAAGTTTATGCCTGCCCTTGTCTAACCTTACAGTTTCATTGCAATCCGGGATGCAAAAAGTCATGCTGGGGTTGCTTCTCAAAAGGAAACATCCTTTCAGCCCACGTTGCATACATTCTCTACAGGCTTTCCCCACAACTGGCTGAATTGTTAAAGAATGCTCTCTAAAATAAGCTGGATTTCACAGAATGGGAGAAGTAGTTGCTGGGAGCCTGATTAATAATTAGTGCTTATGTTCCCGAAGTAAAGAACAAACAAATTCTTACAGGACTGAACTACTTAATTACAGTTTATTGAAAGGTACTTTAAGGTAGAATGGAAAACATGCTGGATTTGAAGTCGGTAAATGTGTTGAAATTTGAATTTCCAGCTCCACTTCTTAATACCTTTGTGACCTTGGGCAAGTAATTGACCTCTCCCAGCCTTAGTTCCTCATCTATATAAAATGAGAGAATTTGATGGCCTCCATGACCTTTCCAGGTCTAAATCTATCATTCTTTGAACCACTACTAATACAGAGCACTTGTGATGCCTCTTCTGTATTCTTTTAGTCCATTTTTTCTCTGCCAAGACATTTGCCACCTCACTGTTGCTTGCATCTAAGATAATTTTGAAATTTCAGTTTTAAAATGTTATTCATTGCTTATCAAACTGCTTCACTAGTGACAAGAAGAGTCATTGCTCATTGTCTTCTTGTACTCCATCCATAGTCTTCAAGGGATAGTGAAATAATGACTCTTGCTGTACCCACAGTATCATTCCATATGGTTCATAGAATTTAAATGAATCATCATTTAGCTATCTCGCCTTCAGATTTTTAGTCAGATAGTTCACAATTTCCTTGATTAGCACAGGATCTGAAATTATCTATCTGTTTTAGAGGTTCAGTGTGGTATGTTTCTGCTTGATCTTTTGTGTTTTTGAAGAGAGAATAATTTCTCACATTTAACATTTTACATATGAGGAAACTAAGGCTTTGAAAGATAAGTGATTTGCCTGTGATCACACAGCTAATAAGTAGCTACGGTAGGACTTGAACTCAGGTCACCTGACTTCCAAATCCAGCCCTATATCCACTGTTCCAGATTACATCTCAAGCAGCTATCTAAATGGAAGGATGTTGTATAATTAAATTCCTTTCAAGCTATATAAAATTAACAATTATGTTGTAGGCCACCATGGGTTCTCCTTTCCTCTTATACAAAGGGAATATGTATGTGCAGTGATATGTTAGATATCACCCATGCATTCAGAATTCATATGCCTTAGTAAGAAGCCTATTTAACATTTTATCTGTGGAATAAAAAACTGGATAAGAGAGCCTTAGTAATAATTTAGCCCAACATTGACATTTGTGTGTTTGACAAATGTGGAGACCTGAGAACCAAAACAGCCGAACAATTTACTCCAGGTCATGAAGGGCCAGAGCTAAAATCCATGGCTTCTGCTCATAGTCCCTTTGTTCTTTCTAATGACACCATGCTGCTCCCCAAATTTGTTGGGGGTCTTTGTACAAGGTTATAACTGCTGTCATCTAAACCTGGGCCCCAGTAACCACTTCAGCATTTTCAAAGGGATAGTGCCCAAGAGGCAACTTGATTTTTTTGCTGTGCTCTACAGGTGAGCGCGTTTGGCCAAGACTTGAACTCACTTGGTCTTTGAATCCCAAACTTAGCATACACCAAATACAACAACAAGTATTTTCATATAAACAGTAGAAAAGATAAAGAAGATTCTATGTGAAATTGCAAATCTTTAATTATGTACAGCTTGCTTTTTTAAACTATAATAAATTAAACATGTCACTTTCAAAGCTGTCTTGCTTGTTTGTGATGCTGGCCTCCCTTTGTTTTTTGCTATGATTTTTTTTTTAAATGCTTAGTGATCTTCTTTCTTTTTTTTTTTAAGCCAAGGAGAGGGCTGCACTACCTTACCCCTTGTCCCTCCTACCAGCCTTCTTACCCCCATTGCAGGGAGGAAAAAACACAGCTTTTATAACAAATGCGTAGCCTAGCAAAACATTCCCACTTCAGCCATTTCAAAAAATGTGTTTTATTTTGCGTCTTGAGTATATCACCTCTCAGTAAGTAGGGGGGAGTACTCAGTAAATAGGCTTCATCATCAGTCTTGGTATAATCGTAGTTAGTCATTGCATTTGTCAAAGTTCTTAAGTTCTCAAGGTCTATTTAGTCTTTTGTCTCCAGCTATTGTGATCTGGACTGACTTAGAGTCTTATTGGGATAATCTTGCTGCATGCTATTCATAAGTCATCTTTTTTTAATTTTCATTATCCAGTATCAGAGATTAGCTTAGTCTTTGTCTTTGTGATAGTATTAGCTCTTCATAACTTTAATCTTCACTTTAAAATTATTTGTGTTACAAGATAAGAATTTTCTCCTTTTCTAAGAAATAAAGATCTTTCTAATTTTTTTTATTAACTAAATTGCAAGTATGTTTGAAATAAAGACATCAGAGTCATCATTTTGCTAGTATTCGTGAGAGGTATACAGTTTTTTCAGTGGCTTCCATAAGACTCCTTCCCTACCAGTTGATTAATTAACTCTTGGGGAAAAAACTTCATTGAGCCACCTAACTCCACTTCTTCCATTTCCCACCATTGCTTTTCCTCTCTAGCACTGTCTCAAGGTTGGCAATAATAAATAGTTTACATCTGATAGTATTTAACCAAAATACTTTAACTAGTAGCAGCTCTGTGAAGTACCTGAGGTGAAATGATTTGCCCAGAGTCACACAGCCCAGAGCACAGGTTTCTAGAAGCAGGATTAGAGGTTCTGACCATGAAGCTCATGTCGCTCTCCTGCCCTATAGCTGCACTCAGGATTCCTGTGATTCTGGTTGCACACTGTATAGCTGCCACTCCTCTCCTCCCTCATCTCTCTCTATGCCAATCCCATCTCACTCTGTTCTGTTAACAAACTGTCTACTTTAAACCTGTTTCTCTACTTCCTTACTAAATAAACCTTAAGAATTTAAGAACTATGATCTCCCCTGCCCCCTAGAAAACTTTTTGTGTATATTTTACATTTAATTCTCTATGTTTGTGTTGTTTCCCCAAAATTAAATGTAAGCTCCTTGAGGGAAGGGCCTCTCTTGTTTTGGTCTTTGTTTTCCTAGCACCTAGCCCAGAGCCTGTTACATAGTTGCTTAATAGATGCTTCTTGAACTGACTCCCAGGTCAGGGTACTTCCCCCGTTGTCTGGACATTGTAACCATTCTGAAACAGCAGCCAATCAACCAGTATGAAGTGCTTCTGTGTACTAGGCGCTATGCTAGCTAGGCAGGATGGGGAAACAAGTAGTCATAACTAACATTTGTAATGGGTTACATAGATTCTCCTATTTCATTCCCACAGCTGCCCTGTGTGACAGATATTTATTATCCTCATTTTATAAGAGTTGAAAGAAAGTGACTCACTGAAAGTCACTCGGATGAACTCTGGTCTTCCTGGTGCCAAGTCTAGTGCTCTTTCCGTTACACTCCCTGGCCACTTACAGGAAACAGAACAGTCCTTGCCCGTAGGTGGCATACATTCTAATAGGGAACACTAGTGTTTGTAATTAATGTATGTGCGTCTGTATGAGTAAATACAAATATATACGGAATAGATAATGATAATAGCATTTATAAAGTACATTACACATATTATCTCATTTGATCTATGCAACCACCCAGTGAGATAGATGCTGTTATTATCTTCATTTTACAGATGGGGAAACTGAGTCTGGGAGAAGTTAGGTGAGTTACTCAGGGTCACATGGCTAGTAAATGACTGAGGCAAGATTCAAACTCAAGTCATCCTGACTCCAAGTCCAGCACTCTGTGCACTGTAGCTCCTAGTTCTCCCCAAGGTAGTTTACCAGGGAGGACTCTAACAGCTGGGGAGAATCCAGAAAGGCTTTGTGCTGAAGGTGCTTGAACTGCATCTTAAAAAGAAAAGAGGGACTTTAAGGTGGAAGTAAAGAGAGAGGTCATTTAAGGCATGTGATATGGCTAATGCAAAGGGAGGAAGATGAGATTCTGAAAATGCTCCTTAAAACTTGTATCTTTGATAATAATCATCACTTTACAGAATAAAGCAAAATGGTCTAAATTTGTTGGATATAGTACATAAGGATTTTAATAAAACGTAGGCTAACGAAGAAGTCTTGTTGAGCACATAGTACAGTGAGTTTTTTCCTTCATCCATTAATGAGGATTTTGGTTATGTGACTCATGAGGTTTTCAGGTATAAAATGTACTTTGAATTATAACTTATTCTTTTGGGGAATAAACCCAGGCAGAAATTTCTATTCTCTCCTCCCCAGCTCATCTCCAGAAATTTTATTAACAAAGGGTTCTCGATGTCATTACTGACATCCCATTCCACTCACTGAGCTCCTCACACCCAAGGATTGTTGAGAATGACTCTGGCACCTTTGACATAGACCTTAGGGCAGGGGAAAGATCTTTCCTGCCTGTTAGGCAACTGTTTTCCTGTTCCTCACATGGGGTTTGCTTCTCACTCTTCCTACTTGCAGAAGGGAAAGGGTGGAGAAGAAAGGTAGAAGAACATCTGAGATCCAGTGTAGTAACAGTTTCCCGCTTTTATGGGACAAAGGCAGAAGAAAGATCAGGAGACCTAGTAGGGAGTTAGGTTCTCAGCCAGGTGGGATCCCCCTGTAGCCCAGGGCTTCTTAAACTTTTTCCACTTGCAACTACTTTAACGCTTCTTAAACTGTAGGTGAAAACCCCATATGGTAGCCTAGTTTCCATGCTCCGAAGGGGACTATAGAATAAAAATAAACTAGAAATTAATACTTTTGTCTGACCCTTATGGCAATGAGTCATAGAACAACTAAGTCTGTTGCCCAGGAAGAGATTTTATCCTGGATAGATTCCAGCACTTTGATAAACCTCATATAACAGGCTCTCAGACCTGGGAAGGAAATGAAGGATAGAAGGAAAGAATATTTGTCAAATGAATGAATGAATTGAATGAATGAATGAATGAATGAATGCGCATTTTTTAAACACTTAGCATATACCAAGCTTTAGGAATATCAGTAGAAAAATTGAGATTGCTTCAGATCTTAAGGAGCTCATACTCTTGAATTGTCAGTGATGACACATAAAAGAAAGTTCAAGGTGGTGGGCAAGACCTTGTAGCCCACAGGGTGCCTCATTGGGCAGCGTGATTCCAAAGTCCTGAGTCTGTGTGGGGAGGCCAGGTGATAGGGCCCAGGGCTCTGGGCAGGGCCTCAAAAGAAGGCCTGGTGCTCTTCCTTCTGCCTCAGCTGAGCCATGTGAGTAGGCGCCAGGGTTCAAGGGCAGGCTAGTTCCCCAGACCACACAGACTGAAAGTGGCAGATAGACTTATCCAAGCAGTAGAAGCCCGAGGCTCCCACTGATATAGTGATATATTAGCCTGATGTCTTACTTTGGAATAAGTTATAACTTTTCTAGATGTTTCACAGTGTAATTGTGAAGGTCATGGAGAAAGCAAAAGGCAGTTGATTCATTTGCTGTAAAGTTGCTGGCCCCTGACCTCACTGGAATGTGGCCTGTGGAGGACTTTCTGTGCACTGCTCTTCCTACATTCCTCAGCACTAGACAGGATTAACCTTATCTTTCATGTAACACAAAACCTGCCTTTTTCCCCCCCCTCCTGTAGATTCTTTGTGGGAAAGAGATTCCTCGTTGGGTCAATCGACTCGCCTACTTCAGCTCCTGTATACCATTCCTCCAAAGCTGCCTTCCCAAGGAGTGGCTCACTCCTGCAGCCCTTCAGTCTAGTGTCAGCCAGGAGCTCCAGGAGGAGCTGGAGGAAGCAGAGGATGCAGCCGCGGCAGCCGTCATGTCGAGTGCATCAGCAATGGCCAGACCTGGGCGCCACACTAAACTATAAATTTCTCCAAAGTAACACATTCAGAACTTTGTCTGGCAGTTGAATTTCACTAGAGAGCAGCAAGAAGAGAGCAAACTTCTTTTTGGACATTCCTTTTGTATGCAACAATAGCTCTTCCCCAAATCCCAAGTCTTTTCAGCTCAGGATTATATTTGTAATTTAAAAGAATCACCTGACAAAAGAGGGAGGACTTTATGTGAAGCCACCCTCTGGTTTTTTTACCCACTTGTAAATTTGGATTTACTTCTGTTTTATACAAGATCTGTTGAGTTATGTTTACAGTATTTTATATTGCTGTTTACAAATCTTGCATGGACTCCTGCCACCATGAAAGAAGAAAACCTTAATGTCTTCATAAATTAGGCAGGTAACTTTCTACAGTTCCAACTGCTGCCAGAGCTGTGGCATAAACGGCAGAATACCAAGTACATGAACAGGTACTTAACAGTTATGGTCACCATCACCTGCTTAAGAATTGTGGTTTAAAAAAAAAAAGCATCAGAATACAAGGAATCCAAGCAAGCTGGGCTTGAAATGAGAATCAGAGGTCTTGTCTGGTGTTGGAAGGGTGGGGGTGGAAAGAACAGTTCCTTGAGGAGTGGTTATAGCTCTTCTTTCCCCCCTGCCCTGCTCTCAAGGTAGCACATCTGCCAGGTTTCCAACAGCATCTGGCTTCTACCACCCTTACTGTCTACCTGGTCACCCTGTGCATGCTTGGGACCTTGTCCAGTGTTCATGGCTCCAAGAATTTTCTTAAGGTTTGATTGATTTTCGTGCCAGTGACTGCACATGTGTGATAAAAGTTCAATTTTACTTTAATGCATAGTCATTTCTTAAACTGCAAAAGTGTTTTGTTTTTTCCTTGAACCTACTAATTTGAAATCCTGCCCACTTTATATAGTGCTTAAACGAAAGTTTGGGGAATGCCTTGAGGGATGTCCTGAATGTCAGCAGTTTTAGTTTGCCATCCAGGTTCTTATAACTATTGAGGCTGTTAATTTATTGGGTTTTCGTGGTCCAGAGTAGTAAAGTATCTGTTGGACTTCAGTTATTTTCAGGCTTTCTCTATCATATCAGAAAGACATGCCGTGACATGGGGCAACCTAAATCTAAATCAACTTTGTCCAGCCCTTCTCATGGCTGTGTGCTGCCTTTGGTCATTTATGAGTGAATTATGTGCACAACCATTTCATCTCATGAGTAAATGGCCATCATACTCTCATAGACATTTTTTGTTGACAGCATATTAATGTATTTCCATTAGTTACATTTATTTTTTCAGCAACATTCAAGACTCATTTTTTTTGTCATTTTATAATCTCTAAAGTGTCTATTTATGTAAATCCATCCACTTAAGAACCAAATTGCGACAACAGAGAATAAGCACATGGTGTCAGAGAAAATATGTAACGTCCTGAAGGCCCCTGTGCCCAGGCATCTGTAGTCCTAGTTTGGCCCTCCTCTGTAAAAATCATCCTTTACGTGTAATATTAACTTTTTCTGCCTTAACAATGAATTCCTGCAATAAAATTGGATGAAATTTATAAACAATTCAAGGCAGTGACTTAAACTCCATAAGTATTGTTGGTTTTTAAGTGGTTTACCTTTATTTAAGTTGCTGCCCTATGTTAAATATGTGAAGCAAACATATCTTTAAGTAAACTGCAGTTTTCACTTTTACATATTCTGATTTTGTTTGTTTTTATTACTTTTCATAAAACCTTCTCATAGGGAGAAATCACTCATTGGTTTTAAGAATAAGCCTTAGGGAAAGGGAAAGCACATAACTTAATTTGTGCTTTTAACTGTTCAATTTCCCTGAAAGAAAACCCTTGTTAAAAAATACTCTCACTCCCAGAGTGGAAGGGGCCCTTAGTTTATAAAGGGCTCTGTACAAATGCAATAAAGAGATACAGACACTACCTGATTTCCATTAAACTTTTCTGAGTCTGAAAAGATGACTTAAAATAAGACACTAATGACTTTATTGTTGACTGTTGACATTATTTGTAAAAGGAGAAAAATTCCTATAACCAAAACCTGAATCATTTAGAAGTAGTTTGTTTTGCAGTTGTGTATTTTGTTAAATCTATTTAGCTACTCATGGTTTAATTTGAGCTGCTGACTAATCTAAAAGAGTAGCAATTAGACGTTTTCCTGGTAAATAGCCAGAATGGCCCATCTGTACTTATTCAGGCTCCAATCAACAATAAAAACATATGGTGTGCTTTTTTATTTTTTGTAATTTTTAAATTTGATTTACTGTCATCTGTGGCATTTGGAGATTAAATTCATTCTTTTGGGCCCTGGTTGAAAAGAGCAGTGGTCTTAACTTATTCTCAGTACATAGGATGAGAATATAAAATTTTGTGTAAGAGAAATGCTTTATGACCTGCGTAGGCAGTTGTTGCCTCAGGTCAGAAAATAAATGTTATGACTTCAGAAAAGTTATGACTTGGGTCAGGTCATTCTCTTCAGATCAAAGTTGACCTTGCTCTTTGTGACATTCATCCTGGCCTTTAACAGATAAACTGGTATTTTTGTCCTTACCATTTAATCTCTCAAAAATGTTGTTTTAAAACTGAATAGTTCAAGGATGTATTTGGCAAGGATTTACTTTGCATTTAGGGAAAAAAAAACAACTAATCACTTCTTAAAGGTAGGTTTCAGTTTTATTAATAAACTCATGTCACAAGTACGGTATTCAGGTGATGTTAATATGTTGGTTTTCCTGTTTGTTTTAAATGTATTGATTTCTCTAAAATCTCTGAAAATGCCATCTGCTTTGGAAGGTTTGCTCCTTGTGGAATCTTAGAAGGTGATGGTGCTGTATCTGTGTGACCATGTACTCTAAACTCGGACTCCACTTGATGCCTAAAAACCTGCCATCTGTTGCTCTGACTCATAGCAATAGTGCAAGTTGCCCTTCACCAGCATTTTTAGAGAGCAGGGAATTACAGTTTTAGTTAACTGACAGCATTGTGTGTACAAGAAGGCTATATACTCCCAAAGGAGTTAAAAAGACTCTATCTTCTTTCCATCATAAAACAGGTTGAAACACATTCACTGTTTCAAGGTTCTAATCTGCTTGCCTTCTTTTTCCCAGTTGTTCATTTTCTATAAGATAACTTTGTACTTTTGATACACACTGTATTTTCTTTAAATGACAAAGTCATCTTTATTTGAACAATGTGGATTCTGTTTGGTGAGCCCCTCTTTTCTCCTCCCCTTTCCCCCAAAGGCATCCCATCATACTGTTGTGCTCCATTTTCTTTAGTATGGTTTTATTGTGCAACTGGATTCTTTACACTTAGATGTTTAATCAGAATCAGTGCACATTCATTTTCACTGTTTCCAAGTGGTTGAAGAATCTTCACATACCTAAAGAGAAATTGTGTGAACTTGCATACAAGTTTACTGTCACTCATAGTATTTATATAAAAGTGATGCTGAGAATCTTGACTTTTGCTACCTTAACATGGAAGTAAGCTATCATGTTACATCAATTTATTAAAAAAAATACTTTTATAAGAAATGTTTTATAGTGCTTTCTGGCCTCTGAGAAATGTTAGCAGTTGTAAGGGTGAGGGGTGGGTGGTGGCATGTTGAGGACGGAATTTTATTTGCTTGAATTTCTACTTATAATTGATAATTGGTTAAATTCAGAATGCAGTTTTAAACTCCACCAATGTCGTTAGCTCTCCTTGGGCAATGTTCCTTGTTATTTGATGAAAGACTTTCTCATGGCATGGTGGTAAAGTTGGCAGAGGAGACAATCAGGCATCTAAGAGAGTCACTGGTGACGCTTCAGCCACACCACGCTCTTTCCTGCTCTCCCTCCCACTGTCACCAGGAAAAGCCTTGCTGGGCACAGCTGGTGACATTTGGTGCTACAAATGTTTTTGACCTTCTACTTGAACAGAACAGCAATTCCTTTGCTCTTCTTCCCTTGTGATTTTTCCGGCCCTGTGACCACTTTTCATTCACACAGCTAATCAACAGCTTTCAATAGTGAGTGAAGCTCTTAAGTTGCTTCAAAGTAGGTGTGCTTTTAATATGCCGACTGATTCCAGAGCATATACGTGCTCAGCCCCATCCCAAAGGATAGGAATTTATCATTTGCTCAGTTGCTTTGAAAGGAATTCTCTTGAAGCTTTAGCTTCAAAAATGGGAGTAAGACAATAATAAGAAACAAACTAGATAAGACCCAAGTCCTTAGGTGTTTTTTTCCTCTTGAACTATCAAACCTGAGATCCCATCAGAGACTGCCAGTGTAAGCAGGCAGGGAGGCTAAAAGCCATTTAAGCTTCCTGAAGATGTCAAGGAGCACAATATCGGCTGACTAATGAAAAAACAGAATTTCATAAACACTTGTTGGGTTTGGACTTTTTTTGGGGGGGGGTCTATCAGCCTTATGTTTGAGGGGTTTTATGAAAATACCTAATGAGTTTTTAGGTAAATTTTCAAACCACAGAGTCTTAGAGGTTGACTAGGCCTCAGAAGCCAAAACTAGTAACAAAGCAAAAACCCCCTCTGTTCCACGCTTGGTGGAGGGATGTGTCTACTTTGTTTTACACAAAAAACAATGGGTCCGTGAAATGTCATTCGTATGATGAATAATAAGTTCAAGGAATGTCATGGTGAACCTTTAGGTTAAAACAAACATAGTTTTGTAAGGGATGGGGGGTAGTTATTTTACTTTCCAAATCTAGATTTTTATATACTACCTTCATTTTTAAATGGCTTACTACAGCAATAGAGTTATATTAGATGTCAGAAAAGACATTGCCTATTGAGGTTAAAGGTATATTATTTCACCTGTTAATTATCTTCAACCATTGATTGGACTTTTCAGCATTTTATATAGGACACTTAGAAATGTGTCTTATAAAGTGACTTCAGAAAATCTGAACTGAATTCCATCATTCGTCCTTAGGGAAATGGGAGGGTTACAACAACCACAGTAGTTCTGAAGGTTGGAATTAAATATTTTCTGGATGTTATTTGTCTTATGATGAAATATTTTTCAGTTATGACATGAGCTGCTCAATCCTAATTCATCGTTGCCATTCACTTTAATTGTGTGCAGAGCATACTGCTCAGCAATAGGGATACCAAAGTGACAACCTAAGAGGCTAAATAAACCACAGGCAACCATAAGAGTCAGACTATATTAAGTATAACACATTCATATCAAGGCCTGTGAGGAAGAAGAGGTCACTTAGAGATTGGGAACCAAGGATTGCTTGTTAGAGAAGGTGACGTCTTACTTAGGCCTTGAAGGGAGGGGGAGGCATTTTAACAGCTATCTATAGCAAGGGCTCTGTTGAAGGCTGGAGCAAAGAAAGCACAAAGGAGAATGGAGTCTGGAAAATAGTCCGGTTTGGCTGCAACATAAAGTATGCCAAAGGAAGGAGAGGAGTACACTAAGGCAGAAAAGGTAAATTTGAACTTAGATCATAAAGGGAATAGCAGGGTAAGAAGTTTTTATTTTGGTGAGCCATGAGGAGTCACCGAAAATTCTCGAAGCAACGTGATCAAAAGCAAATGTGGCCTAATAGAAGATAACTTCCTTGGGATTTGTGATAATGCTTTAGAAAGCTCATTCTGGCAGTATTGTGAAGTGATGATACTCCATTGGAGAAGGAATGGACTGGAGGCAGAAAGAAGTTAGTAGCTCATTACAATAGTATAGGTGAGAATAATACTAGTGGACCTTTACATAGAAGTGTTTAAATGTTTGCAATGAAAAATAAAGACTGGAACTAGAATGGTTATGTTTACAATGAGAGGAGCTGGGGCAGCTAGGTGGCACGGTGGACAGAGCACCAGCCCTGGATTCAGGAGGACCTGAGTTCAAATCCGGCCTCAGACAGGTAACACTAGCTCTGTGACCCTAGGCAAGTCACTTAATCCCATTGCCTAACCAGATAAAAAAAATAAAAAAACGAACATAGAATGAGAGGAGTGGAAGAAGGTGAGTTTAGAATGACTGCCCTCCAAAAATGACCCTATAAGAGGAGGAACTCCCCAGGTGATACTTGGAAGCTGCATAAGCAGCTTGAATAAGATCCACAGAGGGGGAACCAGCTGAATCCAAACTTCACAGAACAAATTCCTTAATAAAAGGATTTGTTCTGTAAAGCTTGGACTCAGTCAAAAGGCCACACCCAAGGACCTATTTGGCCACATGTGGCCTTGAGGCCACAGGTTCCCCACCCCTGGTGGAGTTTAAAGATGTTTACGAAGTTGCACTAACCAAGTGCAAAGTGATAACAAGACATGTAATAGACATATAACATTTATCTATCCTAAAGAGCTTACAGTCTGGCAATTCAACATACTGTGAGTATGTATAAAGATACTTCACAATGCAAAGTGTAGGGGTACTTGGTGGGAGAGGGGGTTCCCACTGTAAATATTGGTTCAGATTTAGCTTTTTTAGGACTTGAGTCAGTTCATACCTGTTGTCTAAGAAACAGTGACTCAGTTTGATTGGCAGAAATCTTTCTCCATATACAATACAGTAGGCATTTATTAAACACCTACTGATTGCAGAGACCCCTATCAGGCACTGGGGTGGGGAGAAACTGTTCAGATAAGACATTGTCTGTGCCCTCAAAAAGTTTACAGTCAAGTAGCCAGCATGAATAAATACCCCATGATAAATTCTTTAGGGAAATTGAGATCTAAGGAGGAAAGTACCTTAATAACTAGGGAGATTAGGAGAGGTTTCCTCAAGGAGGTGATATTTCTGTAGGTTGGGTTATACTAAATTATAAAGAGCTTTACATACCACAAAGAGGAATTTGAACTTGATTCATCAGGCAGTAAATGACCCTATTATTGTGGCAGCGATGTGAAGAATGAATAAGAGAGGGCTGACAGAGCAAGCCAGAAGACGTATAAAGAAGCTATATCTGTCCTAAGAGTAGTAATACAGTGAGAAGTGATGGGGGCCTGTACTAAGGTGGTAGTAGTGGGAATTGAGGAGGGGAGTAGATGTGAAAGAGTGTTCGGAAGTAGCATCAGTGACCTAAAAACTGGAGAGGTGAGGAAGCAGGAAGCATCACGGACAATCCCAGAGTTTTGAACTTGGGAGACCAGGTGAATGTTAGCACAAAGATGTTGAAGTCAGAAGGCACAGATTTAAAGGATAAAAGATAATTCTATAAAGGATTTAGATTTTATAATATTTATTTATTATTTTACAATTTTAATTTTATAAAGGATTT